AAACGCGTGAGTCTGTGTGTGTGAGGAATATCATGCTACTCTTTGGTGATTACATAAGGGGACTACATCACGCCCGGGTCTGGTGTGTTTTTGTCCCATGAAAATGGCAGATCGCTCACTGATTCTCGTCTGCAGCATACTAGACTCATGAGGATTGATTGTTGAGTGACTGAGTGACACTAAGTTTTCCTGTCTCAGGACAAAGAAGAAACTGCACAGTGGGTGGCATCGGCTGCAACCCTGCTTGTCAAGAGTCTCTTCAGTAAAGCGATCTGTGCTCATGGTGCATCACAAGACGATGTACGATGGTGTCTTCGAGAAGGTGTGCTGCATTCTCATTTTGTCTTGTGTTCTTTTCAATTTGGTGTTGAATGCGTCTCATTGTTTCTTCATGTTTGTTTGGATATGCGCCTGTAGGTGGTCCTGCAACTGATGAACGATTTGCAGCAAGATACCTTCATCGCGATGCACAGTGACACAACGTCCCCCACCATCCAGCAGTTTGCAGCGCAGCAGGTGAAGGATAGGCTGGTTGAGGACTGTTCATTTGAAAACCATGACCTGTGAAGTTTGAAAAAAGAAACTCTGTGAAGTTTGAAAAAACTCATGTGGCCAGGAGGAATATGGCCTCGGCGCGGCCCAATTTTGAACAAGACGCGGAGGTCTCAGACGTCTCACTGCCAAAGGCTCCTCCCCTGAAGCTCTGCTCATTGATGCCGAATGGGCATTTGATGATTCCCAAAGATATAAGAGAGAAGTGGTTGTCTGACCCAGTGAGAAGTGCTTGGGTCAAATTTCAAGAATTTGGATATGTAATTTTGATACGAAAGTAGGATTCAAGTTGTCTTATTCCGTGAGCGCGTTCCTGACCATCTGTTCACAACTCAGATCCGGATTGGCGAGTGCGGCTGCGGAACTTTGACGCCGGGCTTCAGCCATCATCGGATCCTCAAGCAGCAGCTCCGACCCCAGCAGCAGCTGCAGCAGAGGTGGATTTGGGGCAGAGCACTACTACACCAGCAGCGGCTGAGGATCTCAACCCTGCCTCCATGTCGGAAGATGATTTCAAGGTGAAGTATCCTACATCAGTGGCCACTGTCAGTGTGAATATGGGTAGCGCAATCACGATCCATGTGGTTGATGGAGCAGTCTACATCTCATCGCTCACCAAAGTGCGTGTCCCTGGAGTTGACTCAGATGGTGCAAGGCCGCTATTCGCCTATGCCGGCGGGACATGGATCAGCGATCCGGCAAAGGCTTGGAATGAACAACAGTCAAAATTCCAGTGAACAACATTCGAGTGAACAACTTGTGTTTTGCAATTTTTGGCAGTCAGTTGAACTAATTCCAAATTTGTGCAGGCCAGGAATCAGCAAATGAAAACAAGTGCATCGAGTTCCTCATCTCCAATCAAGACCAAAAGGTGCCCTGGTAGCATCATGGTGTTCAGTGTCGGGTCTCCGTTTTGCATGTTGTTATGTCCAAGGTTGTACTGGAAGAATCCAACCAGGGCGGACCTGTGGATACAAGCCCAATGTCGATGTATGCACTGTGGCTGCTTTTAGAAAAGCAGGGGTATTTGGATATGCGCCTGACAGCACATACTTGTGAACGACCACCAGCTGTGCAGCGTGGAGAAGAAGGGGACAGGCATGTGGTTGCAAATTGTGACCTGACATCAAATGAGTGTTCAACATGTTCATGTGCGGACCATTTCCAGGCTCGACATCACGCGCAAGGACCACAGCCTGTTCAAACCAAATTCTGTACCACAGAAGCAAGCAAAAGGCTCCAATGTGGCTGGGTTGATCGGCGCTCGATTGCTGTATAACTTGCGCTGCTTGTTCACACTTTTCCTGACAGGACCTTTTTTCACTTATATATTTTCAGTTGTTGCAACCCAGGGATGAGATACTACACACGGGAGAAAGTTATCGGCCCTGCCAAGCCTCTTTGGTACATCAAGTCTGATGGGTTTGTCCTGGAGGCAAAGACATATTACAAGGTTTGCTGAGAGGGGAAGAGGGAAGAATCGCGTGATTGTGATTGTTTGGGGGAAGCACTTCAAGCTTTTGTCCACAGCGCGTCGCTGTGACGCTTGTGCCATGAAGGCGTTCGCCATGAATGTATGTTCCCTGTCGCGCACCCGGACCTGACAAGGGAGAAAAAGTTGTTCTCATGCAGAACCATGAAAATTGAACATTGTGCAAGTTTGATGCCTTGCAGATCAGTAACTATTTTGTTCTGGAGATTGGTTCAACACGATCCTGATTTTCGGTTTGCCACTCTTGCCCATCATGTCTCAGCCACCTACTGCATTTACTGCTCTTTTGGCAAAGGCAGTGCAAGGCGAAAGGAAATCTTCCTCTGATGCTGTGGTGGCGGGTGTTGTCCAGAGACCTCGCCTTCAAAGCTTGCCACGTTTCCAGTGGAGTGCGGAGATTGAGAAGACTCTACACACGGCGCCTAGACTTAGACATAATGCCTCAGGTCTGTGCGTCAATGTTTGAACCTGTTTGAGTTTTTTGTAGCTGCGCTTGTGCACAGGCTGCTCCAGTGGAATCAACTTCTTCGGGGCTTGGTGGTGATACCCAAGAATCACAACATGGCTCACCTGAAGCGACTACGATGGCAGGAGATTCCCTGATGACACCTTTGGACACCGCCCATGGCTCACCTCAAGGGACTATGATGGTGGAGGGTTCCCTGAAGATCATCCCGTCTGAGGAGGGTCCACTTCCTGTTGCCCGTCCAATGAGGTCAGTGGTGAATCTTCGACGCCGAGCGCGCAAAGTCTCACCAAACACTGGCCAAGCATACTTTGCCCCCAGAGGCATTTGGAACACCATCTCCAAGAAAGTTATTGTCTTTTTCCAACGATTCACAGGACACTCAAGTGTCTTTGATGTGCGCCAGAAAGTTTGTTCCAATCTTCTTTACTTGCTTCTTTGTTTGCCCAGTTTTCTTTTGAAGCTCCAAAACAAGATTGAGGTCTGGTCGCCTGCAGCTGGAGTGGCTTCGGCTAGCTCAAACCAGGACCACGTGCCATCAATGGCTGAAGTCGAGGATCCGGACGGTGATCAGCAACCTGACAAGCAACCTGGGCTACCTGAGCCTGCAGATGAGCAGCAACCTGCGGAGCCAGCGCCCGATTCTGCGCAGTCAACAGCACCCGAAACTGAGGACTGTTTTTTCAATTGAAACAGTAACTCTGGTATAATTAACTAAGTCGTTGCGTGCATCGTGATTCAATTGTTTGAAAGGAGCAGAAGAGGAAGCGTGTCGTGATTACTGACAACATGTCTCCTGGGACAAAACGAGCAATCGTTGAGGAAAGGCGTGAACGAAAGAGATAGAATTCCCGAGATTGGCATAAGCAATATGAGTCGGCTGGCGCAGCTTCTCATTGAATAAGTTGTTTACTGTCCTTCTGTCTGGGGGTGTTGTTCATGTTTCTTTATTTTCCCTGGTTTTCCTGATGCAATTTCATTCAGGTAAGGCGTGGTGAAGTGAAAGATGCCAAAAAGTCCAAGAAGGACAGAGCGAGGAGGAGGAGACGCAGAAGAAAACCATGTCAGCATGTCACAATGCTCGTTGGGCATTTGTGCCTCAGTTGCTGATTATTGATTCAATTGTTGATGCATTTGCTCATTTGTTGATGCATTTACTGCTTCACTGATTCATTTGTCAAAGATCACAGCTGAGGTGAGACGCTACAAGACAAACAATCCTGACAAGCCTATCAAAGATGCTCATCAGGCTTGGATGGAGTCCGAAGAGCGGGCTATCTTGATGGCCGGAAAATCCGGAATGCAAATTTAGAGGGATCACATTTTAGGGGGTTGAACACGTTTGACACAACGTGGCAGCAGTTTCATGGGGCAGCACAAGCACAAAGGGTTCGGAAAAGAAACAGGCGAGCTTGGTTGTTTGGAAAGCATATTAAACACTGTTTGCAGTTTTGGAGTTGTTGTCTTTCAAAGCAGTTTGGAATGAGATCAAACCCGTGATCAAAGCAGCTGTGGCCAAGTCAAATAGAGCATGGCACATGTGAATGCGAAGAAGTTCAAAGATGTGATGGGACACTTGCCTGCGCACCCAGTCAAACACCTTTATGGCCTCTATGAAAGGTCGAACAGTCTCAAGTGATTTTGTGACTCAGGAGTCGATTGGCCAGCGGGTCTTATTCCTGTTGGCCTCTATGAAAGGTCGAACAGTCTCAAGTGATTTTGTGACTCAGGAGTCGATTGGCCAGCGGGTCTTTTTCCTGTGGAGAAATATGCGTATTCTATCGGGATTGGTGAGCTCTCCAGTGAATTCCATCCCCTCGACGAAGACGACTGCCACCTTGTTGAACTTTTGAAGTGGTACTGCACAGCCAACAGCCAACGTTGAAAAAATTGGCGACAACCGTGTGATCTACCGTGAAGAACTCATCTTTCTGGCGAGTTCCGACTATGTGGACACCACATCTGAGAAATGGAGAGTGGTGATCCAGGCCTTTTCAATCCTAGAGCAAAGAAAGGAGTTTATCACGTTTCAACTCCGCTGAATCTTGTCATCTAGCGGCTAGCGAGAAAAGAGGCGTGTCACTATGTCAATGTGAATGAGCCGATGTCAAAGCTGTAAAGACATGATGTACATACACAACACCCACACAACGTCCATGTATATGTTTGTATATATATATGAACCCTCACTCTTCTCTTTTCTCGGGTCTGCTCCCCGTCCTTTTCTTTTTGCGCAACATGAACCAAAGAAACATGAAGGTGGTTATGAGGCTCTAGGATAAATGCATACTTCGAGTAATCCCACAGCTGTAATCCATACTTCGAGGAATCCCGGCACAGCTAAGCAACACACATCCGCAAATCCGCGCAGTTGTTTTCTCTCATTAACTCCCTTGTTCGGCACACTTGCGCTGAACAATGGTCACAGCAGTGCTTTGATGTGTTTGTTCCAGTTGGCATTGGATGAAAACCATGATTGGGTTCCGAGAGGATTTCTGGCAAGACCAACTTCCACTGTGTTAACGCCCTGCAGAAGCTCAAGGACATCTGTTTGTTCTGATATTTTTGTGTCTTTTGTGTTGCAAATCTGCACACATGTGTTTTCATTGTTGCAAATCTGGCAGGAGTTATGAACTATGATAGATTTGATCTGCAGCACCCTCCGCGCCTCGTTGTTGAAGGCAAACAACATGACTATAAATACACATATGTGAGGAAAATATGTGACTTGGCCAGTAGAGTTGTTGCTTTTGTTCACGTGTGGTTGAGAATGCTAAAACATAGGAGGCAAGGTTTCTTGTATAGAAATATAAAGTGCTTGTTGTCAAGTTGAACCAAGGATATGTTGCTATTTGATGAATGGGGCTTTGATTGCATCGCTCTGTGGCATCACCTTATGGCAAACCGCTGTGTAAAACAATGAGGCATGTTCAAGCAAGAACAACACGATTTGGGAACTTGGGAGACCAAGAGTGAATGGGAGTCCCCACATTTTTTCACCAAGCAAAGAAAGGGCAACCGCTGTCCTGACATAAGGTCAGACTGGCTTTAAAACTGAGGCTTCGCAGTGCACCCCGAAGTATCACACAGACATAGTTTCATTAAATCAATAACCAGCTGTGTTTGTTTCCTGAGGTGCCTGTGATCCTGGTTTAGTTTCCTGATTTGTGAAGAGCTCAAGAGAGCGCGCAAAACCCAGCGAGCTTGAAGTCAAGATAATGAAGTTCACATGGTCGTGGAAGTTAATGTTAAGGAAAAGGTGACAGCCTATTTTTCTGGAGAGAACAATGCATCACGGTCTATGTGACATGTATAGAATATAGTGTTTGTCCTCCGAGAAAACATGTTGATTTTGGACATCATCAGGAAACTACTAGGTTCCACAAATGAATTCCACATGGAGTCTTTCATGGTTCAAGGGAAGGCTACATTGAGTTTCGTAGGCACCATGGCCGCCTGCGGATTTGGACGGTGGATGACAAAATACAAAGCATGGTTGAAAAAGAAGAAACAGTGCCCAAGAAAAGCGAGCTGCAAAGTGGAAGAAGTGACGGAGGAACCTTTGACTCCAACGGACCAATATGATTCCGAGGTTTGGGTCTATAGGCTTGGAGAAGTTCATCGAGCTGCTTTCTTGGCAATGGCTAGAGGCTATACACCAGTGATTATCGTGAGTCCACCTTCTTGAAGGCCTGCTCTCTTGCGCGCCCTGCAACTTACAATTTGTAGTACTTGTTTACTCTCATTTTCAGTTTTTCTACTGAATTTGAGCCTTTGCAGGTTTTATGGATCAACACGATTACCTTTTGATGTTGCCTTTTGAGGATTGTGCAACTTGGGGTTTGTTTGTTACAAAGCCAGCCAGCTGGCCTTGTATGATAGTACTTCTTGGGGAACGGACAGCTAGCAGAACACGATGGATGAGCGCATTTTATGCTCACCGTGTCGCAAGCTTGTGTGGTTTCACTCACAAGAGCCAGTGGGTGGTTGCGAGAAAAGTGCTATGTCTGCATGTGGCCACTTTGTAGGGAGTCTGGGCTAGCAGCCTTTATCATAATCGGTTGAACAAAAATACTGAGAAATGTGAAAGGCACACATTTTTCTACTTTAGACTCCACCTTGTGTATTGAGTTTATGTTCCAATGAGACGCATGAAAGGCTTACAACAAGCGTTCGAAAACGAATAATCCCCCTTGATCAGGATGCGCATAGTAGTTACATCCATGTATTTCCTCAAAAAACGGATGGTCCCGTTGCCTTCAGACCTCCTCACTCTTTCCTTTTCTTGCAGTCCTTGGGTCTACTCCCCGTCTTTTGTTCAATATAAATCAAAACAACATGAAGCGACTATGAGGATCTAAAAACTATATATATATATATAATATATATATATCAGAGCTTGGAGTGATACCCTTACCTTTTTTTGCTGGCTGGATCCTTTACAACCATCACTTGCTTTGTTCTTGCAACCTTTGCAAGGTTTACTGTGATGTGTTTGAGCCTCCAAAATAGACAGCTGATTCTCTTAAATTGACAGCTGGTTAGCGCGAATTTAACTTATTGATCCATAGCTTTGAGTTCAGTCATGCCGCCAGTCTTCACAAGTTCGGGGGCAAACCAGGTCAAACCATCTTCGGAAAGACCTGAGATTGGATCAATCAGATGTACAGTGCTGCCACAAAACACGAACTTTGAGAAGTTAGCGGACCCGAATCTTTGGTGGGAATGTGCAACGGCGCAACGACACCACTGGTCAGATTGCAATGGATCAACTGATCTGGCGAACGCGAAAGCCGATGCATCAAGCGTCAAGTCCATCGGCAAGGACGTAGGATCTTCCCGGTCATCCAGTGGAACATCACCTTCATGTTCTGAAGGTGTGTGCTCTTGATCATCACCTAACTCGAAATCACCAGTGGGAATGTGATCCAACGTCCTGCTCGGATCGCTGGGCTCAGATGCACTCACTTCCATGAAACCTGCCGACAATGCATCACTAATGGGCGGTTGCTTACCCGTGAATCTCACACGACCGCCACTGGGATGTGGTTCGACGCTTGATGGCTTAGACAACTCTTTGGATGGACCTTCAACACTTGACTCTGTCGGAATAGACTCGGCCGTCTTCTTGCGTTCACACTCAACCCAATCACGGTATCTCCTACAGCGTGCAGCGCTATGCTTCTTACCATGACGACTCCATGATTCACATGCTGAACAGTTCGGCGTTGGTCCGTGATCTTTGATCCAAGCCCTGGGAGGGCCATGGATGGGAAGTCCCTCTTTGACGCCAACCTCATGGTCTTGTGCGCGAATGGGATCATCGTGCTGTTGTCGTTCCGAAGGCCGATCATGGTTGACTTCCTTAATCAGGTCAGGGGCCAACGAAACGTCCCATACGATCTGACTGAGAGGCTTGACTTCGGCTTGGAATACGCGCGCGTGATCTCCAAATCCTGGATGATACCATGTGCGCAAGACTTTAGGACGGAGATGCACGCATGCAGCGGGAACAAACCTAGTTGCTTCGGGTACGGACTCCGCCAAAGAATCAGGAACCTTTGCCATTTGCGTGAACCACACCGGCAAACATTGAGCAAGCCGGACTCGGTCGTTCTTTCTGCGCCACAAGCTCCATGGGCGTCCTGCGAGATGCCAACCCTTCTGCACGACCAGTGTGTGACCCGAGACCGAAATGATTGTGTTTGTGCAACATAGGCCAAGGCATCAAATCGTACCCATTGAGCCTCTGTCACTACGAACGCTGAAATCATATCCAGGAAGCGTCTCACATTGTGCTCTGCAAGCCCGACTGTTTCGTAGAGGCAGCCTTGATCTGACATGGTAGGCCTGTCCGATGAAGCAAAGAACCTAGGCGGGCTCACTATCAACCAGGACCTCAACCGTGAAAGCGCTCGTTTCAGTCACAGCTGACGAAAAAGTGCTTGCAATCTGCAATGGTGCGGTCTGGGTTCGTATCGTTCCCTGCAATCCCCCAAAAGTCTTTGTACCCGAATCGCGCAAGATCAGGAACTTATGATCTTCTATGTCGTTGAAATCGGCTTGGACGAGAAGAATCTTATGGTCCTGAGGGGAATGGTTACGATCTGTGACCCTTGCATGTCGGATAATCGATCGGCTTCGTTGGCAATGAGAGTGCAACGACCGTCAAGTGGCAAATGACCCCGACGACGATGCAAACTCAGCTCAGTCTCAGACTCAGCTTTCTTGGTAAGCTGTTCATAGCGCTTTAGCGTGACTCATATTTGAACAATGCGCGAACTCAATGGCCGATACGTCGCTTCTTTCGATGGCGCGAATGACAATCCCTTTGATGGACTCTTTGACCCTTGACTCGACGGACTGTTGTCTGACCAAGACTGTGACTCCAAAATCTGAGCCTGTGCGATTTCGATGTCCCCTTAAATCTCCACAACGTTTTCTGTGAGCGCGGGCACAAGGGACATTTTTGTCCCAAATCTCGCAATCCATCCTCCTGGTGTCGGTGATGTGAATCGTGCATCGATCAGGTCCGAACGAAAACGTGGCACCCGCGCGAGTCAAACCATGAACACTCAGGAGGTTGTGCTCTACGGGACCGATCATGGCGCAAATTTCATAACGAACTATCTTTGTTGTCTCACCGTCTTCCTGTTCGATCAGGGTTGGGAAAAACACTTCAAGCATACACTCTCTCCCAATAGCCACTGGTTCACCGGACGCAGTGCAAAATTGGATTGGTGTGATCATCTCTCTCTCTCTCTACACGATACACTTTCAAAGCGCGTGCAGAAACGACGGTGCAAGAGGCTCTGGAGTCGACAGGCCAAAGGTCATGCTCATCAAGACTTTGGCGCGTGAAGAAAGGATCAACTGGCAAGGTGGGCTCGAAACACACTGAAAGGCGTCCGCCATCCTCGATGTAAGGCTCAGACCACTCCCAACCGGCTTCCGATCCGGGTTGCTGCGAAAACTCTGTTGCGCGTTTGCCTTTGTCCTAGCCTTTTGCACCTTTTTGTCACCCTTCTTTCCTTTCTCCTTTCCTTTGCTCTTCCCTTCACCTTTTGCACTCTTATCTGCACTGCCTTTGCTTTTGGATCGTTGTGGACAATCGACAGCTAAGTGACATCTTTCGTTGCAGTGGAAACATGTGCGGCGTGCGGGTTTCTGATCCTGTACCCTTTCCTTTGCTCTGTTGATTCTCGCCCTTTCCGTCGACTCCACCCAGGCTTGCAATGAGCTTTCCGTTCAAGTCCAACCAAATTCTCTGTTACTGGGCTTCATACCTGAGGGCGCTTTCGACGTAGGTGTTGAAGGATTCGTCCGGGGCATTGAGAACAACCCATTGGCGACACTGCTGAGGGAGGGCTCTGAGAAGTACAAGGACCTTGTCTGCTTCAACGAATTCGAGGCCTTTGACATTGACACTTGGATCGACGAGTTGCGAGTTGAAACAATTCTGATTCTGACTGAATCTTGTGAATAATTTCCGGGATGGTTGGTGCTGAAATCGTGCTATCCGCTAGCTAAGTTGGAAAGAACAGCAACTCGGTTCATGTTTACGCAGAAAACTCTCTTGCAATCAGTCCCAAACACTCGAACCCACAACGTCGATGATACGCTTTGGACTCCTCATAGTT